ATTGTATGCTGTAATGTGTAATGACGTGCTAATTGTATGCTGTAATGTGTAATGACGTGCTAATTGTATGCTGTAATGTGTAATGACGTGCTAAATGTATGGTGGGAGGTGCAAGGTTGACTTACTTTTATGCTGGAGTGTGGAATGATGTCCTACGTGTAAGCTTGGAGGTGTAATTACGTCTTAATTGTATGCTGGGATATATAATGACGTCCTAATTATGTACTGGAATGTCTAATGACGTCCTACGTGTGTGCTGTAATGGGTGATGAGGTCCTAATTATATGCTAAAATGTGCAATGACGTCCCGATGGTTTGATGGAATGTGTAATGTCGTCCTAATTGTAAGCTGGGAAGTGTAATGACGTTCTACTTGTAGGCTTGGGGGTTTAATGACGTTCGTATGGTAAGCTGTGAGGTGTAATGACATCTTAATTGTATGCTGGGACGTCCTAATTATGTACTGGAATATGTGATGACGCCCTACTTACATGCTTAATGTGTAATGATGTCCTACTTGTAGACTGGGAGGTATAATGACGTCCTAATTGTTTGTCATTTGAAAGTAAGTGATTTTGTGGTCTATGTTTGGTTGGTTGTCTGTTAATGGGTTAGTTGTTGTTCGTTGGTCTGTTGTCAGTTAATGGTGGTAACTTATGTTCGTTGGTTTGTGGTAGTTTGTTTATAATATTTTGTTTTTTGTTTACTGTATACATATACACGCCCGCTACGCACTTACTGATTTTCATTGTGTTTGATCATCTTGTTGATCTAGCAGATGGAGCCTCTAGCTGATGGGTACACTAGCTGATGGGTCCTCTAGCTTATTGTTCCTCTAGTTGATCGGGCCTTTTATTGATGGAGCCTTGTTGGTGTTTCCTCTGTTGTTGGTTTTTTTGGTGATGGGTCCTATTAATTACATAGAAGCAATGTCCAGAAATAAACAGTCCTTGCTGATCCCACGAACAAATCATAATCCCCACACAGAATCTACACACACAGAATGAACAACAGAATCCAGTCAACTTACACAATTTAATATTTCTACCGAAAACAGCAAAGCGATACAGTTGAGCTAATTTATCTTGGGAAGTCTTTTCAATAGCCAACACACGTTAAGAAATTTCCCATATCAAAAATAAAAAGTAAAATAGCTGTTGAACACACCATGTCATAGGTTTTGACATGCGTGTTAAGTTTAATCTATTCTCCTTCACACCCCCCTCCCTCCATAGTCCGTGCCACCAGTGGTTTACCTTTTCCCATCTCTCATTGTTCGTCCCCTGAACACTAGCTCAGCCACCCACATGTCAAAACACACCAGCACTTGTTAACCTTGCACTAGACACTGTCCTACACCCACCCATCGAACATACACGAATGTCAGACAAGCTCACTACACATTGTTTACACGTAGCACTTTCACGTACACACAAAACTCCGTCATCACACAACCGATCTAACTGTAGTCACCAGACAACATACACATATATCAGTATATATTTGGTAACAAACTTAGAACTTTTTAAAACTATGTTCTGTATCACTAAAGCATCCATCGACATTGTGAAGTACATAGGGTATAATTCTGAAATCTTTCTCGTAACTTGTTTTAAAAATGTAATACAACATCACATAACTTCCAGCGCGTTTCAATTTAGAATTTATGTATTATTTCTTTAATATGTTTTAAAAGGAAGGTAGAATTTTTTCCCATACGTTCAAACGATATTGCAAAAAGAGAACTAGTCTTTGAAACTTGATGTTATTTTATTAAATAAATAAGATGCCTCTAACGAGGAAGCTTATTTTACCGATTGTTTTTACTTCATAGTCACCCCCTCCCCCCCCCCCCCCTCCACACACACACCACTCGCCCCATCTATTTACCTTAGTGTGGGTGGACGATGATTAAATTATTTATTTCATATTTGATTTTAATATTGTGTTCTATATTGTCCGTGTTGGGAGGGGGGGGGGGGGGGTGGCATGACATACCCTTATCACATAGTCACATATTCAGATATTATAATCCTCTCTTAAGGGGAAGTAACCAAGCTTGGATGATGCTGTCGACAGTATAAAAGAGTTGTCGCGCTTAACAAAAAATAAATATACATGTTGCCCCAGTTAATTTTTTAACACGGTTTTTTTTATGACAAAAAACGTGGGTCGGGCAGATTTATGATTAAAGCGAAAACGTAGCCACGTTTTTTGTCATCAAATGTATGAACAATCATCACAAGAACCTGCACAGCTCGAGGAAGCACAAAATCTACGAGCAGTCATTGGTAGATCCCCTAGGGTCGGAAGAAAAATTTATTTTCTACTTTTTAGTCCACAAGAAAAACGTGGTTTTTTAAAAAGTTTGTTTTAAGTATTTTATTATGACAGTAGGCCTACGCCTACAAGAGGAGGGGGTAAAAAAATCATTAAAAAAACGTTTTAATAACAAGCTTTTATGTAATAATGCACTAAAAAGTAGAAAATAAATTATAGATTACTATTTAAATAACTATAAAGAAAAGCGTGGGTCACTTTAGTACTTTAGTACCTATTGGATACCTTTACTAATATTTGAGAAGAGACCCACGCTTTTCTATATAGACCTATACTATCTAGTATCTAATCTATATAGTATATTTCCTATAGACGTATACGAAAAAGTAACAACTTAAAAAAGGTAGGACCTAATAAATTTTAAATATCCTAAGCAATGACAGTATACAAAACTTACCTCGACCCTCGTCGCTAATGCAATGCTGTTGTGTAGGTCGTCGTTGTTTCACGTCCTTAAGAAAGATAACTTATCCAGAGACATGAAATACGAGCACCATTTAATTGGAACCCTCGTCATCAATGCAATGCTGTTGTGTAGATCGGCGTTGTTTCATGGCAAAGAGAACGATAAGTCATCCGAACACATGAAATATGAGCAACATTTTATTGGAATTCCTAAATTCTAGGTCTCAGTTCAAATGATACGCGCCTGTTCTACATTAACAGATGGACTACACGGCGCATGACATCTCAGAATGTTGTGTCACACTACACACAATGAACTCTTACTATCCCAGGCACTCGTCAAAACAAACACGAGTACTGGATGACCTTGTATTTGCCACTGTGCTACACCCACAATTGCATCAAACACAGACGTCACACAATCTCACTACACATTCTTTACAGTGAGCGATTTCGGGTAAACTACACACAAACCACGTCGCCAGACACGCCAGTTTCTATTGTCACACCAGCCTCCACTAGAATCTATATTTAGTGATCACCATTTATGACTTCAACACGGGTGAGGGGGGGGGCGAAAAAAAATCGACTTTAGTGTCACTTTTGGCTGTGTAGTTTGGCGCCCAGAGTTAACCAGTGGCTACCACTCGACTCCACAGCAACTGTCGAATGCCGCACGGGAGGTACAGGACCGCCTCGCCTAATACCATTATCCCAGAGGCGTAGCGACCTTTCCTGGCGCCCGGGGACAAACTTTCGATTTGCACCCCGTTGAACTTTTCGTTTGCACCCCCCTCGAACTTTTCATTTGCACCCCTCCTCAAACTTTCAATTTGTTTTTCCAACCTATTTTGGCGCCCCCCCCCCCCCAGGTCGGTGCACTGGGATATATGTCCCCCCCCCCCTCGCTAAGCCTCTGCATTATCCCGATCCCACCTACCCCTCGTCATTAAAGTCCACCCCCCCCTATGAGTATCGATTGTGAACTCCCTGTATTTTTAACGTTGTACTCAAGACGGGAACTATAAACAATAAAAACCCTGTCCAGTGGCGTAGCTAGGATTTTTGGGCCCCTATGCAAAAAGTGTTAGTGGGCCCCTCAGAGGCGTAGCGACCCTTCCCGGCTCCCGTGGACAAACTTTCGATTTGCATCCCCCCCCCCCTCAGATTTTCGATTTGCACACCCCCTCAAACTTTCGAAAAAGGGCCCTATTTGCCTTGGGCCCCTATGCCTTGCTTACGCTAGCTTTACGGTAGCTACGCCACTGACCCTGTCCTCGCCTATGGTTATGACCAGATTATTTCCTACCATCATACTGGAATTTGCCAGTGAACATTCTATCAGTTTGGATCACTTTGTTTAATGAAATAAGTGCTTATAATGTCACCAACTGTACAGCTGCTGCAAGTCTACAGAGAAATCTATTACAAACTTATTAAAAACATTTCAATCTTCCCAAGGCTTTTACCAGACACTTAGCAAGTTGAACAGATGCCAAAAAATCTGCAGTGGTCAAATAAAAAAAACGAGCCGGCCCGCGGCATAACATACGCCGCTATTTAGTTGTTGTTTTTTTTCTACTTTTCAGTAATTCAAAATTTGTGAATTCGACAGTACCAACGCTGCCACTGAAAATATTTCTTTAAAACACTATAAGTAGCTCGTTAAGGACCAAAGGACCATAACCCCCCCCCCCCCTTCCTTTCCCCCCCTCCCCCCACGTTTAAAATCGTTGGCTCTGCTTGTAAACATTTAGAGTGAACACAGCTCACTAAAACCATGTAGGGGTGGGGAGGTAGGGAGCGCGTTTACAGCTTGTTTTCTAGGCGCGTTTGCAGCTTGTTTTCTAGCGGCTCCCAGAAGAGAATTATATATATAGATAGATATCTAGGCATTTATTTTTGAAAGATGAGGTTAGAAAAGTATTATCAGGGGAGAAAAAACATGATATTCAGTTTAGCTGATTACCTCCCTTACATATTGTAGATATGGCTGATTTCAGTTAAACAATTTATCCTGAATTGCACATGTAAAAATTCTACGCAATTCCGTTCTGATAACCAATCACCAGGTAACATTCTTGACCTTCAACCCCCTTACACTCGTTTTTATCAATTTTCAAAGACTTAAAAGATATAAATAAATAATTTAAGGCTGTGCACTCATATTCAAAGGCAATGTGAAACCCCATTTTGGTTGAGAAATGAAGAAAGCACTCACACACACAAAAAATAGAACACAATAGTAATCATATTCTATTTTTATTACCTTGTATTTCTTCCGCAGGTTAAAAAAAAGGTTTACATAATTTATCATCGTCATTGAATTCTTACAGATTAATCCTGACATGAAATTGTATTTAACCAAACATACTGATTGGCCATCAATTTTTTTAATAAAAATAAACAGGAACCATTTAACTTAATGAGCTTATACAAGAAATGGTAGTATTTATTTTTAAGAAATTTATGTATGATCAGTTGTAGATTATGTATGCTACTGAATTATATATAAAACACATTTTGATTTATTATAAAATTCAATATTGTCCACTTGTATTAAAAAGGTGTGCTTTGAATGATCAAAACAACAGATTTGATCTGATAAAAACTTACACAAAAGTGTGCTTCACACAGGTAATAATTCTTAGCTTATTTACAAAAACTGACCACGACCACCATATTTTTGTTGATTATTAAATTTTTCATATTCCACAACAGCTGCCTTGTAAAACTTGTGTAGCAATGATTAAAAGCCTAACTGCACCCGACTTATCCTATTATTATATGACCCGTGTAACTGGTGTAGCAATGAACTACATTCTACCTAAGCCTGACTTTCCCTGTTACAATATGACCCGTGTAACTAGTGTAGCAATGAACTACGTTCTACCTACGCCTAACTTTTCCTGTTACAATATGACCCGTGTAACTAGTGTAGCAATGAACTACATTCTACCTACGCCTGACTTTCCCTGTTACAAGATGACCCCCGTGATTATGGTATAGCTATGAATTCTAGTCAAGCTAAGCCTGGCTCTCCCTGTCATCATGCGCCATCAAAGGTCATCCAACGGGTCACTGCCAGTCCTCATCTGGATCCTCTTCAAGGAACAGCTCCTCTGGTCTTGTGTCCGCCATTGTCAGGATGTTCTCAAACTGGGACCAAGCCTTGCTGTGATGGGATCCTTCCCAGTACACCTTGCCACAACTGGAGCAGATGAGGAACTCTGGGATTGATGAGAACACTTCCTGTTTGGGTATGGTTTCCATCTGTGGGTGGAAGTTTAAAATTAGAGACTAGTTGCAAGATAAAATAATTCCTAGAGTTCAGAAGTTCAAATCAATGTGAGACTACAATGAAATGCAGTCCACATTCAAGCTGGCAACATATCATAAAAGGTTGCTGAGGTTTTATCTATGCACTTAGTAGGACAAAAAGGTGGAATGGTATAACACATGATTGCTCAAGGCAACTGGTTCAAGTATTTAGGATCAGTCCAACAACTCTGATGGGTAACTAAGCAGGGCACAAAGTTTACTAGGCTCACACACATCTGTTAGAAGCTCAAGTCATCAAAGAAAACAAACTCTACCATAAATTTTTTTTACTTTCCATATGTTGAAAGATATTTGAATACATATCTTTTTATTAAAAGGCATAAAAATCTATCACGCTGAGTATGGAAAATTATCAAAGCTTAAATAATAAATTAAATTAACAAGAAATCCATGTACCTCCATGTTTTAAAAACTTATCTATATAATCATAAGTGCAAATTAATAAGCAATACAGTTATTATAACAGTAAATTCACAACCAGTCCCAAAATAATAGATGAAAATTAATAATCCCTCAACAATACTTCCGTAAGTAAGCAGTCCACAGATGATAACTGTAATTAAGAAAAATTAATGAAAAAAATTAAAACAAAGAGCATGAGTGATTTCTACCTGAATTCTGGCTCTGTTGTGAAGTAAGGTGATGGACACAGGGTCAATGCCGTAGTTCAAGAACTTTGACCGTGAACTTTGATCTATGCTGTATGTAGGAAGACTGTCACACTGTTGGCTAGAACTAGGCCCACTGAACTGCTGTTGTTGGAGGTGATAGCTGTACAGCATGTCCATATCTGTGCTGGGTATCTTCACAAAATCTGAACAGTTGCAGGCCTGGGGAAGGGAGGCTACTCTGGTAAAGTACAACCATCTATTCAGTCCCTTTATAACAGTTAATACATTTTATCTAAATTCATGCTTTTTAAAGATAAGAATCTGTAACTACATAAAATAATTAAATAACAGTCATCAAGCATTTCATTAAAATGAAATTAATACTTTTTCCTCTAAAATCGTTAAATGTTATTACTAGTATTAAACTTGCTTTGACAAGATGACTGAATTATTATTTAAATTAAGTCTAGACATAGCAAATGAAATAAATAATAAAGTTGCATATTTTTATCAATTTTATTGATTTAACTTCATGACAAAATGTCATGAGAATAAAATAATTTTTTTAGAACTGTTATTTGCTGGCACTAATAATAATTTGGAAAAGATAATTTATAATGTTTAAAAATTGGCTATCAGTATAGTTTAATTTTAAAAAAAATAAACATAACTGTAAATAAATTATATGAAAATTTATCATACTCACAGCACATCGAGTAAAAATGTCCTCTTTGGTGACCCTGACATTGAAATATTTGAGAACCTCTAGGCACTGGTCTCTGGCACTGATGTCATGGGGAACACGGTAACATTGGTTGGCTCCCACTTCACTGACAACCTGCAGTAGTAGTACACAAACTATTGGTCCACATAAGAGTATAGTAGTACACAAAATATTGGTCCACAGAATAATATTGTAGTACACAAAATATTGGTCCACAGAATAATATAATAGTACACAAAATATTGGTCCACAAAATAATATAGTCGTATTGGTTTTTAGCGCAATTTCCATTCTGGAGAATTGCGTTTATTTATGAATAAGGATGGACAGTGTTATTTACATACCTGATCATACACTTTCCCTGAAGTCAAAATTATGCGATTTTCACTTCTGCTAATCTGGAACAGAAAAACATTTGTGCAAAATATTACATATTAATTAAAATACCTGATAGTTTTAATAGCTTAAAGTAAAAAAAGTTTTAAAAACTAGAACTTTAATAGGCACAATAAAAGTTGACAAATATGTGAACTGCTTTTAGCAGACTGCCTCCTTATTCCTGACAATAATATTCTATAAGGTTAACTCCTATAGGGCCCCATTATACCCCAATAGTTTCAGTCAACTACACTTGTGACAATATAGGCTCTTCTCAAAAGGGGTTGTCATTTGCTAAGGTTGTGTTGTGGGAGTTCAATAAGCTCCCAGCTTGCATTAATCACCCTCTGGGCAATTTTAAGCTCCTTTAGAATATTATGTTCCCACAATAGATCAAGCGCTTGTATAAAATCTCTAGCTATTTATGCACTTTGTCAATACATTCAGCACCCACTGATACATTATGCTCCTCTTGCACACATATGCTTTTATCTAATGCAAGAGTTACATTTTGTTATAAGCCATATATGTGATTGTCATACATGTGGCATTTTTTGGGTCAAATATATGGTAATCTTTACATGAGGGGGCAGTGGGTAAAGTTCCCTCTTGTTCCTTCAATTTCATTTTATCAAAAATGACATATGTACATTTTAATATTTATTATTTATTTCAGTTTTTGGGTCCCTAAATGGCATGGGCCCTTTACATCATGGTGACTGCTGTATTGGTTTCACATCTCAGATCCACATACTAGTGTATGCTTTACTAATAACCAGACCGAACATAAAATTGTGATAAACAAATGGCACCAACCTTTACTGCATCAGAGTGCCTCTGTGTGCTGCTCAAGATGACAGTGTCCACCCCACAGCTCCGCAGCTGGCTGCCAAGTCCCTGCAGCATGGTGTCGCACACAACACGCAGGTCACTGGGAGACTTGACACCACCTGCGACAAAACTGGACGGCTGTTTCTGATGTCAAATGTTTAGGCCATTAGCGAATTTCAACAGTACTACTGTGCATTCATGAAATACATTCTTACAAAGCAGAGTTTAATTTGCCATTATAGGACTATTATTAGATGCATTTTCATGAAATAAGACAGAATATTCTATAGCTATTAATTATCAGTTGGTGTTTTTAACACAACAATAACTGGATTCTACCTAATATTTTGTAAATTGTGACATGATAATTGATGTATGCATTAAATTATGTGTTACATTTCACAATGACTTGCATTTGTGATACCACATCTATTCCTTTTAGTAACTGTTAATTTCCACTAAGCAATTTAAATAGATATTTGTTGATTTTCACTTTTAAATTAAATAACCTATTGGTTTTGTAATACCATTTAATGACATGGTTCAAACACTATTTACAAAGATATTTTACTGAATTTGTATTTAAACTTAATGAAATATAACTATTAGTATTGTTATATAAATAAAAAATGTTATTATAAAACACATTGTTTCTTTACTGTATTTTAAAAACTTACTGATTTTGGATATTTATTTGCACTAGCTGCCATCTTTTTCTTTCTGTCCATTCGTGTTGTCATCTTAAGAGAAACTGGTGGTTCAAGCTCAGACCTGCTAAGCCCTAAACTTTGACCTTTAAGCAGAAGGGCCTTGTAGACTTCTATCAGCACATACGCATCCAAGGCTGTAATGTTTGTGAGTACATTTTGTATAGAGCGTGCAGGTAAATAAAAAAAAAAGAGACCAACATTATTTAAAAGTTTGTAAAAAAAAAGGGTAAAGGTAAATACTAAGTCAGACTAACATAAGGGTAAACTTAATCTTCAAAGTTAGAAAGTTTATCTTCAGATATGTATGCCAATCTTTATTTTAATTATAGGATAAATGTTACTGCTGAAATATAAAATTGCATGGTTAAAATGGTAGAACCCTTGAATGCTAACCCAAAATGACCACGATATCCTTTCAGCCACAGAAATATGAACTCTACTTTATCTACCTAATGGTTATTTAATTGGTAATACTAAAACTACAGATTTATAATACTAAAACTTCAGATCTATAATACTAAAACTTCAGATCTATAATACTAAAACTTCAGATCTATAATACTAAAACTACAGATCTATTTAAAAAATCTGAGTTCCCAATGGAGAATAGCACTGATAAAATAATGGGGTTGCATGGTCAGCACTAGCCTAGCTGCCTTTGCTTTCCCTGACTTGGAGTCAGGTACTACTGTGTGACCCTCACCTGCGTAAGTGATCTGTGACTGCCTGAGGGGGCGTTTCTCCCAGTTGGACATCTGCTCACCCTTGCTGAGGGGTTTGCCCAGTGTCTTCTTGACCAGCAAGCTCAAGCCCTTCTCATCTTGTTTGTGAAAGGGATCACTCTGTGTCGGCCTCGTCTCTTTAGGGTCCTCGTCAGTGACTGCACCTACGTGAAACCACATCAATAAGATTTTAAAAGTGTTGCAAAAAATGTACTGACGATTTTCACCAACTCATTTTGTATGACACATTATCAATATTTCAAGATATTTTAAAATGTGTTATAGAAAAAGAAAAGACAACTTCTTTGAACAAACTCTAAATTAAAATGTACATACTTTCATCTTCAGTAGGCTGTGAAGTGCTTGCTGTGGCTTCATTAGTATCAGAAATGATCTGAAACATGCAATTTTCAATATTTTTATTGTGTGTCCATACATAATTAATAAGATAATATTTATTTTAAAATGCGACAATTTTAAGGATGCTTCACTCTTTAAAAACTTAAAGAGATCCCAGTTATGGTTAAGAAAAGAAAATCAATTCAAGCATGTAAATGACGACAGTAAAAAATAATTCCATGGTCATGTAATGTCACCATTATACTTTTTTTTTAAAAAGAGTTCCTGATTATCAGTGCCACTGTATTTAGATTTTGTTGTATTATTCAATCCTTCTACCACTAAAAAAAACCTGGTGTTACCTTTTTAGCCAGCTTCTCCAAGTCTACGACCCTGACCATTTTAAGAATGGGCTCTCTAATACAAGGTAGTGTTTTAGATAGCATCCGTAGATCTGTATCAAGTCCATAACCTACAAGGTCATTTTAAAATAAAGCATAAACTTTCCTAATACCAATTATAAGCATAATGACCTTTTAATGAAATCCAATTTAGAATAAAATATTTATAAAAGATAGTGCAACTTTTGCTTAAACTTCTTTGTATATAATATCCAATTTTTTTCCCTTTTAGTTAAAGGTCCCTTGGTTTTAAAGTGTTTTGATATATGGTAGTTATTTACTTAGATAACCAAGAATATAAAATCAAATTGCAAACAGAGAAGAGTTAGTTTATAACTAATGGGATAATATTGAGTTACAGGTTGGTAATAAAAACACAGGGTTGAATAACAATGATAGCAAACATGTTCTTCAATATTAATACAGCTTGACGGAATGTCAATCCGCCTAACGGTGTTAAATTAAAAAATTTTGTAGAAATAATTTTCAACAGCATTCTACATTGTGGGTATAAGAAAACCCTGTAAATATCGAACCTATTTTTAAAACCTTGTCGTCGTCTAACGGTGTTAAATTAATTTGTTTTTGTAGAAATAATTTACAAGAAAATTCTACAATATGGGTATAAGAAAAAAACCTGTAAATCTCCCACCTATTTTTAAAACCTTGTCGTCACAAAAAATGGCTGTGGCTATGTTGACCCAGTCCTCGTCGTGCAGGAGGTTCTTCAGCTGCATGAAGTCGACCAGGAAGATGTGGTCACTGACAGCTAGCTGGAGCAGCGAGACTCTCTCTGGGGTCGTACCCATGCAGGGCTTCCACTCGGAGTCAATGCCAATCATTGTCTCAGGCTGCAGGCAAACAATATGTGATATTTCATTTCAAAAGTTTGGGGCTAAAAATTAAATTACGTAAAAAAAAAATTAAATATAGAAAATATTACACAAATAAAATATATGCATTGTCTCTTTTTTCGACAGTGATTAATTAATATTTATTAAAATGATTAGAAAAACTTAATAATTAAGTATTTATTCATAGCGATCACCACGCCTCCAATTTTATAAAGGTTAACTATCTCATCATTTTTATAACTTATCAGATTGCCATATGCCAAGTTTATTGTGACTGAACTACATTTTGACAATGCATAGTAAATCTTCAAAGCTTGGCATTCTTTCTTATTGTAAAACATTATTTGTGTTTGCTTGTAACACAAAACTGTCTAAAGATGACACTTTATGTACTTTTATTTAAATACCTGTGCAATTCTCTGTAGGCAAGCCTCAAGTCTCTCTCTGTTGTCCACCAGAGTAATCTGCTCTTGTGACAGTGGGAACTGGTAGTAGAGGTTGTCAGTGCTGTCCATGTCCCAGCTTTCTTCTGTCTCCACTTCCTTAGGATGCTCCACTTGATACTGGCTTGTTTCTCTAAGGACACATTACAGCTGTTAAGTCACATTATTTTGTTTTAAATAAAAACACTGGAGATTTTCATAGTTAGGCCTAAGAACATCATTTGATACTGGCTTGTTTCTCTAAGGACACATTACAGCTGCTAAGTCACATTATTTTGTTTTAAATAAAAACACTGGAGATTTTCATAGTTAGGCCTAAGAACATCACTTGATACTGGCTTGTTTCTCTAAGGACACATTACAGCTGCTAAGTCACATTATTTTGATTTAAATAAAAACACTGGAGATTTTCATAGTTAGGCCTAAGAACATCACAATGCAAATTATAAATTTTAAAACTGATACTGTATTAAAAATTAAATCAAGTAGAACTTAGCAAAACAACTTCATTTAATTGTCATAACAACAGAAAAACCTACAACAAAATGAACAATGGAAGGATTTAAAAACTTTTCTGGTAAAGGACATATTTAGGATCAAGTATGTGCTTCCCTTACTAAACATAAGCAAAGAAATAGCTTGAGGCCTGATGGCACATGGGGCAGATAAGAATAGTTCAACTGTTTCTTTAACCTCTGCATAGGAAAGGATTTAATGTTCAGCACTATGCAAAGCCACCTCTACCTTCCTAGGCTCCATTGATATCTATGGTAGCTGGGTAGAATTTAAGTTGCCCTACAGAACAAATACCCTGAGAACCAAACTCAAGCCTGTTGGGTTAACTGTATGCTCTACCACTGAGCCAACTTAAGACAAACCTGTGTTGAATCCTGGCCTCTACAACAGCGGGGTCTAGAACTGTATCTGGCAGCTTGTATCTCTCTGCCCACTTCACAGCTTCTCCCACATCATTGTAGCTGAGTAGCTCCATGATCAGCTGCTGCTTTAGGCTCAAGTTGTTCCCTACAGCACTCTAAATTTTTTTTAAAATCAATAATCATTAAAAACTCTGCTCAAGTTGACAATTAAAGTTTGTTGATCACATCACTCTAGGTGACCAAAAAATAATTGTTGAAATTGTATTGGATTGACAATAATTCTAAATATCTCCTGATTCAACAAAGCTTTGAAATTACATTTATAACTCACCTCAACCATATCGTCCCATCCATCATACCCAATTGTTTTCTGAGGAAACAATTTCTTATAAGACATTTGTTTTGTAAATTTAAAAAAATTAAAACAAAGCAACATTTATGTATAATATAATGTGACAGACCAACAAAATTATAGTGTAATAAAAACAACTAAAATCACATACAAATATTACTGCTTAAAGGACAGAAATTAATTTTAGTCAAAATTAGGTATCTGTACCTCTATGTAACGTTTGTACAACAAATAACGAATGGCACCCATGGCTCGATTTTCTGAGATATTTGGACAAACCTCTGTAAATAATAAATGTATATTGGTTTTATAAATTATGAATATTTTACAACAAAATAATTATTATTCTCAATGCATTCAACACAATCATGTGACATGCGGTAGTATGTTTCAGTGTCAATTTGAAGATTATATTTTGATATAAACAACAGGCAAGTTGTAAGCATAGCATAATTGGTACTAATTACAAGCATATTGTTACAGTATTAATAACATTATTGGATAAAGTACATCCAATTTTTTATCAATTCATTATAGTACAACATGTGTATTCCTTTTATACAGTTCATAGTAATTTTGAATTCGTCATGTGATTCATAAGTGACAAACAATGGTAAATCTGTAAAAAGTTATTATATTTTTACCAGGAGGAATATCATAAAGTTTCATCAATTTCATCGCAAACTTGCTCAATACTTTTTTGCTTAGTTTTTCAGGTTTGATTGTCTTTAGTCCTGTACTCCTGTAATAGAAGAAAAGAAAATATAATAAATAAAATAGAAATATTTTTCTGAATCATTTAGGTAAATATTGTTTAAAGCATTTCCTTTCTAAATGTTATAAAAATAGCATTTAAAGTATCAGCATCATGATTATTAAATAAAAACTTAGTTGAAAATCAAGCTGTTATTATGGATATCAAAAATTAAAAAAAATATGTAAAAGTAAAATTAATTAATAAATGTGGTTCAAAAAAGTTATTAAAAAGGATAGTGTGACAATACAAGATCATATTTAAATTTTATTTTGCCTATTTCACTGTCAAGGCCAGGATTCACCCATCAACACAAGCAAAAACATATCTTCAGCAAGACACGGAGGTATTTTTAAGTCATTTTTTAAGACATAAGATAAGGCTGAGAATCAAACTCACTGGGCAAATGAGATGACATCTGTGTTGCGGGCACACAGGTGGTCAAGAAGGGAGAGAATCTGGGCCTGCTGGTCAGGTTTGCCCATTACGTAAGCTTCAATCACATTAACCTTATCAGTCAGCAGTAGCGGGATAAGAATCTACAGATAAAAATTTAAAAATAATGAGCATAATCAACAAAACTAAACTAAATTTAAAGCTAATCTCACCTATGTTTTAGAAAGTTTTGTATGATTTAGATTTAAAAGAATAAGCTGGTCTCAAACTGTTTTAGGCTAAATACCTCTTCTTGTGTAAAGTAGGCCTGAAGACCCAACTTAGAAACAATGTGAGCACACTGTAGAAGTAAAAAGAGTTTTCATTAAGACAATAATTATACATGACACAAACAAAATCATCGAGGCAACAAGATAACTGTTTAGTTTAAAGATTAAATGTTTAAACAAAATGGGAGATAATTTAAAAAGGTAGGTTAGTATTTACCTCTGTTAGTTTATTGCGATCAAGTAGACATTTTGTTATAGGCACAAAATATTCATTTCCCATATGATCTAAGTGAAATGCTTTGACAGCAGTGTTGAAAAACGGCATCTGTTTTCCTGTAGTTGCATAGAAAATGCGAACGCGAAGATCCTCATTTAAAAATTCTTCTTCACGTCCTCGACAATGATTCGATGAAGACAACACCCAATTCTGAAACTGTGTTAATATGGCAAACGACAAAGTGACTGTTTTAGCCTGTGAATAGTCAGAGGCATTTGTAATCAAGTAAAATGCCGTTTCCCATGGGTTTGGGCTGCTTTTTAAAATTGCCGACAATTTAGCAAAAAGAGCTTCTCCTTTTAACTGACTGTCTACCAAACGAGGGTCCTTCCAAATGCTTTGTAATTCCTCAATATAATTTTCCAAGACATTATTTGGCAGAGTTTGTTTATGAACAGGAGCTTCCTTCCTAACATTGGCTGCCCAACTCTCAGCAGAGTTTGGTACATAGCTTGAATAATTCCTATCATCCTGCAAGTGGTAAGGGTTATGGTATTGGATAGGATGAGGCATTCTATTCTTATATGGTGACAGCTGAACCAAACCACGCCCATAGCCAGACAAGTAAGACATTCTGGGTCTGTAGGGATCATTGTACATGGGTCTGTAGGGATCGTATGGATGACGATGCGCCATTTTTAATCAACTAGCTTTCTTCCTAAAGAAAAAGATTAATACTTAAGTTATAATTACATGGATAGACAAAAGAAAAATTCAATGAAAATAAAATCAACACAATTAAGTACTAAAGTATTAAAGTAGGCCATGCCTGGCCACAGCCTGATGCCTCCATCTAGGGGGCTCGCCTTTGTCACGAAGAAGTGGCACTTGAAGTTCATCTAGGAATCATGCACCATGGCCGCCTTGGCCGATGACCTGTGTTAGCATTAGTTGTTTGTTGATTTTTGGAGTTTTCTCTCCTGAATGAGTTGCTGCCCCCAAATATCAAGTCTCATCTGCCAAGATAATTTCAGACGCTATAGGCCTACTGTGAGATTACCCAATTTCTTATTCATTAAAAATTAATGTGATAGGCCCTACTATTTCCCATTTTCCAAATCAACCACATATTTCAAATCTACCGAGATTCAGCTACAGTCTAGCTAGTGACAAGTCACTACTGCAATTACTTCATTTAGACTTTTCAATTCTCATGATAATGAATATGATGTTTCTATATTTTTTCCTTAGGCCTAAGCAATTAATTTGAAAACAGGCCTGGCCTATACTACAATCAGTACTAGTATTAGTAGGCCTACAATTACAAATATGGTCTAATAGTAATAGGCCTAAATACTAGAATATCTACTAGATCTACTACTACTACTTCTAGCCACTAGCTAGTGTAGCTACTAGATCTAGCTAGCTTAGCTACATCTGACGACTGACATCAACTCCAAATAAAACATGCTTTTAAAATTTTATTATTTTTAAATGACTAAATTGATTTTATATTTATAGATAATCACATATAATTTTATAACTTCTAGATCTAGAATCTAATGAATCTAGAACTAGATCTAGTTTACTAAACTACACTCAACAGTCAGACTCATACACACATTGACTGCAGCCACACTCAGACTGCACATGAGGACGAGATCTGACTCCTGAGGATTTGTACAAAAAATTTGAAGAAAACTTTTAAATTCTTAAAAAGAAATAATGTAATAGAAATCTATGTATTATTCTATTTATTACCGAATAAATGCAGCATTGATCGTGACAGTCTATTTTAAGTATTTTAAAATAATTGAAATTTATTGTTTAAATTATAAATAGACTACGTCGAAGGAACACAACAAAAACAACACAGCATATCAAAACAATACTTGTTCGTATAATTAAAAAGTCAAACTTTATTCCGAAGATGAGAATTAATTCAAATTATTTTATTTATAATTTGCGTACAATTCTTATTTTAAATTATTAACTAACATTACACTTTGAAAAAGATTTATTTTTACAATTAATTTATAGTTCGGCTATTTTATATTTCCAGCTTTTACTTTTATCCTTTATCAGGAAGCAATCTTTGTTTTGTTAGATCTAGATCTAGATTCTAGATCTAGACTATATAATTTTCTGATCTTCAGATCCGAAGATACAGAACTCCTAAAAAAACAGATGTACACAAACTTACTGCCATTAATTATTTTAATATTTACTTATTTAGGCCTACTAGTTTAGGCCTAAAATATCTACTTATTCAGAAAACAAACCTAAATTTTTCCGTTTTATATCAGCAGCTAATAGCCTACATTTTTTAAAGCATGGTGAGTTGTTTAACGTATTAGTATTAGTATTACTATCCAAATGCGGTGAAATCTAGATCTAGATCTGATCTAGATTCTAGAATCTAGCATCGACTAACTCATCGACTCATTTCTATCACTCACTAATCACTAATAAAAAAAATGACTAGATCTAAGTCTAAAAGTGAAGTCTAAGACTAACTATAGTAGGCTATACTCAAAATACTGCCTATATTTATACCATTAAAGTAAAGAAACAGCTTCGTTGTTTCAATACCACCCTCTCCCCATTTTTTTGCGTATGCTATGTTTAAAATATGTTATTAAAACATGATTAATGATTAATTTTAATAATGAATGTACATGTGAATTGTGCATCTATTATAATTTATATCATTATTTTTGTTTTGCATGATACAGAGTCCAGGGCTTGACCAAGTAGCAGGCTGGAGTCTTGTATCATTTTCAGGACTTGTTTTCACATATTACACTGTGTGGGTGATAGTGTTGGTAAGTCTGTTTTTAACTAGGGTTGCTCAGTCACTTTGAATTTAATGATAGATTTATATATAATTCTCTTCTTGGAGACGATAGAAAACACCAAGCTGTAAATGCGCTCCCTACCACCCCCACCCCTACATGGTCTGGTGAGCTGTGGTTTACGCTAAATGTTTACAATCGTAGAGCCGGGTTTAGTGACAGCTATTAGGGGCAGATAATTTAGTTTGACACGATTTTAAACTTAGGGGAGGTAACTAAGAGGAGGCTGCTTTCACGGGGGGGGGGGGGGGGGGTTATCGTCCTTAACGAGCTACTGATAGTGTTTTAATGCAAATATATTCAATGGCAGTATTGGTACTGTCGAATTCACAAATTTTGCATTACTGAAAAGTAGAAAATAAAACAACTAAATAGAGGCGTATGATACGCCGCGGGTTGGCTCGTTTTATATACTACAAATAATTTGTAAACTTTTGGCTATATCCTTTAGACTTAAACAGCATTACAAAATAAGTAGCATTTTAATTTCATACATATTATCAATTTTATTTACTTGTTTCTAATCCATTATTTTGTTGTCATACGTGTGAAAACACCATTTGTTTTGGTTATGTAACGATGCATTTACTTCTCCCTATATCTTTATCTTCTGCATCAAAAACATAGAAATTAAAGTCACCAATTGACTTTCACTGACATTAAAATTTCAATGTTTTGTTTCTTTCTTCACCAGCCTTTTGTTGACTCAGATCAACCCATTCACAATTTCTTCCTGCCAAGATTTTATGCAATTGCTGGTCCTTTGTTTGCTGGAGTGCTGGCCCTTGTCTTGATTTGTAAGTAGCTTAAGTGTGAGAACTGTGTCTGGCTGGGACATCAGTTAACACATTATGACTAAATATTAAAGATTTTTACAATATTTTATTGCTTGGTGCATTTGCTTGTTTTATTATTTTTTTGCTTTGCATTTGTATACTGTTTTATAATTGTAAGATTTGTGTAAGCAAAGAAAAAACTGCTAATATTTATTGAAAATTAAATCTCATTCAACATTTGAGATCACATTTTTTTTACCTTTTGATATATGTAACCTAATCGATTAGTGTTTGACCTGTAGTCCTGTTGACATTTTACCTCTTTGATACTTAGCAATGATAATACAGAATTCTAGCTTATCTAGTGTGTATTATCTCTCAAACCACCCTTTCCACCCCACCCCCCCCCCCCCACCCACCCCCAAAAACAAAGTAAACTTAGAATATCTGTTACTTGATGTGACATGTGGTTAGATTTTTGGCCAAAGTATCTTTCAGTTCACCCATCCCTAAACAACTTAGGAGTGATGAAATGTAACTGTGCAATTAGGGTAGAACTATTGAGTATTTAAAATGGGAAGGCATGGCCTAGATGTAGAGCACTACACTGTTAACCCGAAAGTCTTGAGTTCAAATCCGGGTTCAAGTAAATTGAACGTCCCTGAGTCCACCCAGCTCTTGGATACCTAACTCACGTTAGGGAAAGTAAAAGCGACTGGGCATAGTGCTGATCACATTATCCCTTCATATCTGAGTTCAAGAAACATGAACTCTACTTCCTTCATCTGCCAATGGATCATTAGGTCTATAGAGGAATCTTAACTTACAGAGTATTCAAGCTTGCCATTCTATAATACAGATAAAGTAGTTTCTCTTTATTATTTTACTTTTGCTTACTCAAGACAAGACCCAACAAACTACACACTTGAGTGCTCCACCACTTGACCATGCCATCCCATTTGTTATAAACTTTTACAAAAATATATCATATTATCCAAGTGACTTCACTGTGGTCAGCATTTGAGACCAAAGTTCTATAACTAGCCCTCAAACCAGGACACAATCTCATTTACAATTTCATATTCAACTTTCATCCATCTGTTTATCATATTCAACTTTCATCCATCTGTTTATCATATTCAACTTTCATCCATCTGTTTATCATATTCAACTTTCATCCATCTGTTTATCATATTCAACTTTCATCCATCTGTTTATCATATTCAACTTTCATCCATCTGTTTATCATATTTAACTTTCATCCATCCATTTTTTTTTTCCTCTCCACAGTTGCCTTTGTTATCTATGTGAATATCTCATCAAAGAAGACTAAAAAGAGCTGAACATTGTTGGAACATGTTATTGTAAACACACAGTGTTCATTCCGTTTTGTCATATGTTGCTGTATAATTTATTGTAATTTTAATGCATTTACTGCCTTAAATAAAATGTGTTGTGTATTTCTTGAGTGTAATGTGTTTATTTTGAGGTGTGTAACTAGATCAGGGTTGAATAGAAAGCAAGTTACTGATTGAATAGAAAACTTAGATAGGATTGAATCAGTGTTTCTTCCAGACTTTTTTCTCGGGGGGGGGGGGGGGGGGGGGGGGCGGTAAACTTTCTTCGGGGGGGGGGGGGGGGGGCGGACACTGTTAAAAGTATATATTTTCTATATAAATTATATAAATTTTATTTCGTTCGGGGGGGGGGGGGGGCGGTAAAAATTTTTCGGAGAGATGCCTGGAAGAAACTCTGGATTGAATAGAAAAACTAGATCAGGATTGAATAGAAAGCTAGTTACAGATTGAATAGAAAAACAAGCTCAGGATTAAATAGAAAGCTAGTTACAGATTGAATAGAAAAACTAGATCATGATTGTATAAAAAGCTAGTTTCAGATTGAATAGAAAACCTAGATAGGGTTGAATAGAAAGCTAGTAACATTACAGATTGAATAGAAAAACTAGCTGAGGCTTGAATAGAAAAACTAGATCAGCCAGAACTATTTACTTATGAAATTTTTTAACTTTAAAAAAAGCAGGCTTGTTTCATAGGCAAATGAGTGAAATCTATTTTAAATAACATTTAAATGTTTTGTTATAAACATCACTGATGTCAACAACAAACTTTAACCCTAATTATTTGAACAGCGCCTCATATTTCATTGGAAGAGTCCTTTTCTGACACGTTGGTACAGTATTATTGCGGTGGTGTAGTGTTTTTGTTGATCTAAGTTAGTCACGTTGTTTACTGAAATATGCTTGACATCCCTTTGGTTTAAAGAGGCCATTGTGACAGTGTTTGTTATTTAGAGAGAAAAAAATGAGTGTCCTCTTCCCAAATCAATCAACTTCTAGCTTAGCTAGTGTTGATGGAGGGGGGGGGGGGAGGAGAAACTCACTGCAGCGAATTGACAGGTTCGTGATGGGGTGGGGACGTAAGGGTTGCTCAATTTGCCAAGAGTGGAGCATAATGTATACAAAGCATGCAACGGGGGGGGGGGGCACCATGGCTCGTGTAGTTATGTAATAGACAGCAGTCCCGTCCGAAACAAAAAGAGTCATTCCGGGCCCGTGTAACTATAATACACACCCAAGTGCCTTATGCAACTGTAAGCCCTATTCAACCCGACTCTGTCCCTGGCGGCTAGTCAGGTGTCGTGTGACATAGAGGGGAGCTGAATTATTTGGGGAAATCAGACACCATTCTCAGGGAATTCGCCCTTGTTTACTATACACCACATTTTGTCCTATTCCCCCCGCCTGACATGAACTAAATGGGAGGTCGTACATGAATTGTTCAGTAAAAGGGTTAGTTAGCTGGGTGATGTATGTGTAGTTGGTTGCTTGTCGCGGGCTTGGGCCCTAGCTAAATGAGGGACAACCATAAGCTAGAGCTGGCGACAACCCTAACATCATGTAGGCTTAATGTAGACAGGAGTGGTGTCTTCGAGTATCTCCAACGTTCGGGGAGTTATTTTATACTATAGCCTATAGTATAGGTCTCCATGGAAACTACAGCTAAATATAGCCCAAACAGTTAACATGATTACAACTCTTGGCAGTGGCGTAGGCAAGAGGGGGGTTAGGGGGGTTATAACCCCTACCATGAACTCATACCCATATATATATATATATATATATATAATATATATATATATATATATATATAATATATATATATATATATGCCTTTATGATTTTATACATATGGAAAAATATTTGAACCCCTCCCATGACCAATTCCTGGCTACGCCACTGACCCTTGAGTACAATTTGGCTTGGTCCCAAACTACAGCTACTCCCGCCCTGAGCTAGATTATTGTTTGGTGGTGTTTTTGTTTTTTACTTCACGCATAATTATAGTATTTTACAGCGTATTCTCTCTCCCCCCCCCCCCCCCCACACACACACATACACCATTCTATAACCACACGTAGTCATAAAAACAACATACCTCCATTCACCCATAAGAGATACAAAATGCTAATAGGGCCTATCATGACACCTTCCCCACACCGTAGCACCTTGTGCAGCTTGTTAAGGAATATGTCTCTTTCTTGGCCATATGGATAGTCACAGTGTTTCTTTCAGACGTTTTTTTCCGAGTGGGGAGAGCGGACACTGTTTAAAGTATATATATACTATATATATACTATAAAGCTCAGTTCTGTATGTTAATGCATGTTTGTCGTTGGTCTCGTATGGATTTAAGTGTTAGAAAATTATCGTGCGCATTTGTCTAAATTTATGAGTTAAAAAATTACTATTGAAAGTGTTGGGAAATAATTTTCATTTTTCAAATTAAAGTAATAATTGTCGGCATGTTCATTAAACACAAGTTTTAAAAAAATATCATCTTTTACAAAAATTCTAATTATGTCTTTATTTAGTCCTATAGCACTTACTTCCCTTTGATAAATTAGGAAAACAAAATTACTTCCCTTTATAAAACCATTGCATTTAGTGGAAAAGAATTTACTTTTTATTACTTTGTTTTGGTGTTGGGAAAAAAAAATACATAATTAGCGGGGATTGATCAAGTGCAAATGTTGTAGGTATTTTAGGATAAGCTTGGAGGTATTATAATTGTTCATCAAATTGAAACAGGCGCGTTCGTTTAAGTGAGTGCAAAAGACAATGAATACGTTGGGGTACTATAGTCGTTCATTAAGCTAAAACAGGTGATTCCGCCCCGGGCGTTTATGTTCGCGTTAGTGTTTTCTTTGTGTTTAGGTGGGTTTGCGTTAGTGGTTGCGTTTTGATTTGGTTCGTTTTTGTTCTTTCTTTTTTCGTTTTTGTTTGTGTTTTTTGTTTGGTTTGTATTTGTGTTTTTGGTTGGTTTTGCGTTTGGATTTGGTTTGTTTTCGTTTGCTTTTTCGTTTTTTTTTTGTTGGTATTGGTGTTTGTGGTTGGTTTGTTGTTAGGTTTTTGTTTTCGTTTGCTTTTTTGTTTGTTTTTTTCTTTGTGTTTGTATGGTGTTTGTGGTTGTGGTAGGGTTTGTTGTTAGGTTTTTGTTTTCGTTTGTATTTGTAATTGTGTTAGCGTTATGTTTGCGTTTTGTTGTTTTGGTTGGTTTGTGGTTTGGGTGGGCAATGCCGGGTTTATGATGATTACTAATCACACAGGTAATGGTCTTTAACAGAAAGGTTATCACAGAAGCCAGAGCAGGGCCTGGCCGGGACGGCTAGTATATATATATATATATATATATATATATATATATATTATATATATATATATATATATATATATATATTTATATATATATATATATATATATATAATATATATATAAATTATTTATTGGTTTCTATGCCCAAAAGAAACGCTGATAGTCACATGTTACCATCTCAAGTTTGATCCGTGTCCATGCGATTACCCAGCTTTATTGGGTACCCAACTTCAACATGTCAAGTAAAAGCGGCTTACAAGCCTTGAGATTTGTTCAACACAGTCCTCTTCTAAGACATCTCTGCTGTGCTGAACTTTTCGCAAACTCACCGATAATTCCAAAATACAAACAGGGAATGATAACACTGGGTAGTGTCCCCTGTGTAGATTGATACCAGATTTACAATCGCATGTGACGTGGTGGCCCCTGCAACGCCGCTACTTGTTTTATGGTAATTAGCGATAAGGAATCCGGCAGACGGCAGCTGGATGATGTCACTTGAACTCCTAGAATCACAGGTCGGGCTGGCGCGAGATTGTTAAGGTCAGCGGTTTTGTTTTCTCTCCAGTGAGCGGTTCTCAAACGTTCTGAGAAGGGAGAGCATTTTTACAAGCTTTTACTTAACTTGCTTCCTCTGTCCACAGTCTGTTTGTCATCAGTCCTGTCGTCATAGATCGAAGCGCTCGAGCGAAACTTCGGGCACCATTCTAAATTGACAGATTCGTTTCAAAGTTGGCACGTGGGTTAGGACATGAAGACGATGCAATCTGACATAAAATTTGACTTAATTGGATGCCTAATTAATTTTTTATTAAATAATTAAAATTGTGTCCACATTAGTGCCACCGTGCCTAATGGACGAGACGGCCATAACTTAAGTTTCAAGCTCCACTCTCAGGCCTGAGTCTACAGAAACGTCCCCGAGACCACACCATTCTGTCGGGTCTCGGATTCGAACCAGGGAAGGTAATGGGTGTCCAGACATAGTGTTGACACATGATTCCCATATACGTCGTGCTAAATAAAATAGATAAATTTAAAAAAAATATATAGCATCACATTCATCGTAAATTAACACCGACACTAAATAAAACATAACAGCAAGCATAGATTTCCGTTGTTTTAACGTATAAACATCAACGGCTTCTACTTATGCTATATATCAAAATGTATGTTTATGCACAAGGTAAAGAAATGAGCAACATAAGTATGATAAGAACTCATAGACCCCCTATTGGCGATCTCTGAAGAGGTACCTCCCTCCCCCCCCCCCCCCAACACACAACACACTCACATATTGCGACACAATTAGGTACTCAAAAAATAACTATTTGAAATTAGTTTATATCATATGGGAATCACAATCACATCATTTTATAGTAAACAATGAGTTGACAAAAATTGTACAGACTTAAT